TGTCATTAGTAAAGTCAAGAATCCCATGTATTCAAGCAAGCATAAAAACTCGTATATGCACATAAGATACGCATGCGACTTAGGTAAAAGTTGGATTTTCTCGAAAACTAAAACTCGTATCAAAATTCGGTCTGTACAGTTTTCCGATCTTCGATAGTGTAAAATAATCGTATCGGGCTGGGGTGGATTGGAGGAGGGTAATTTTCCGAAAATATTTTCCAGCGTAGGACTTAGAAAATTTTTTAATATCCCGAATCAGACCCTCCTCTCCAGTCACCGATACCAGCCCCATCCTGGAGGCTTTGGTCTATTGATCCCGAAAATTTTACAAGTTTTCGATTCATCAAACTGAAATTGCAATATACAATCCCAGTTGATTATTCCAAAACACAAGGTTAGGGCACACCACTAAAAATTGAAATTCCCGGATCAGACGCTACTCTGCAGTCACTGATACCAGTCCCATCCTGGAGGATATGGTCTATGCGACTTAGGTAAAAGTTGGATTTTCTCGAAAACTAAAAGTCGTATCAAAATTCGGTCTGTACAGTTCGGATCTTCGATAGTGTAAAAGAATCGCATCGGTCCGTTACGGATCGGAGGAGGGTACTTTTCCGAAAATTTTTAATTTCCCGAATCAGACCCTACTCTCCAGTCTCCGATACCAGGCCCATACTGGAGGATATGGTCTATTAATCCCGAAAAATTTTACAAGTCCGAAAATCCGAATATTTTGCACAATCTGAAAACAATGTAAGGAATAAAGCCGCAAATACACATAAGATAGGTATGTGTCATAGATGCGTTTTTACCATCAGACATACAACCTGTCATTAGTAAAGTCTAGAATCCCATGTATTCAAGCAAGCATAAAAACTCGTATATGCACATAAGATACGCATGCGACTTAGGTAAAAGTTGGATTTTCTCGAAAACTAAAACTCGTATGAAAATTCGGTCTGTACAGTTTTCCGATCTTCGATAGTGTAAAATAATCGCATCGGTCCGAGGTGGGTCGGAGGAGGGTAATTTTCCGAAAATATTTTCCAGCGTAGGACTTAGAAAATTTTTTAATATCCCGAATCAGACCCTCCTCTCCAGTCTCCGATACCAGTCCCATAATGTAAGATATGGTCTATCGATGCGAAAATTTTACAAGTCCGAAATCTCGAAAACAAAAAGTTGTATCAAAATTCGGTCCGTACAGTTTTCCGATCTTCGATAATGGAAAAGAATCGCATCGGTCCGCGGCGGATCGGAGGACGGTGATTTTCCGAAAATTTTTCAATTTCCCGAATCAGACCCTACTCTCCAGTCTCCGACACCAGGCCGTTACTGTAAGATACGGTCTTTCGAAACCGAAAATTTTTACAAGTCCGAAAATCCGAATTTTTTTGCACAATCTGACAACATTGTATCGAAAAATTTACTAATTTCTTGCACCATCGGGCAACACTGTAAAATTCGATGTTGCAAAATTTCACCCATATACAAATCATTTATGTATGTGCACCGCCCGGCAACGTTGTAACCGCCATCTTGAAAAATACACCATTGCATATCCTGCGTATTGAAGGGGCTACACTACACCATTGCATAACCCGCATATTGAAGGGGCAACATGCAATACTTTTACAGCGTCGCCATATTGGACAATAATCACCATACAACACTGTAATTTAATTCGTATTTTTCTGCACAATTTGGCTAAAAACTTTTGGGCTTAAATTCCCATTTTTATACTACTATGACTAATATCTGCAATATGTCATTGTGATAATGGAGTGATTTAAGCCAAAGAATGGAGAATTTGCGTGCAAATTTTTTATTACTTCATCTGTAAATGCTAAAAGAGTTGATTTCACAGAGTTTTTCTTAGTTTTTTTCTGATATGAGAAATAGTATAAAAATAGATTTTAAAGTGAAAATATGTACCGCCTGGTGACGTCATCTCGCGGCAGTTCTCCTTTAAATACACATATTCTCGTAGATCATTTTGTCGTATCTTCTCCAATAATGGTTCAATTCATGAACCAAGGGTATCCTCTTGATCAGTTCACACAGTAGTTTCCACTTAAACACGAAATTCATAAAATATCAGACACTTGCAAATTCTCTATTGCATGATGTGCATTTATTTAGGGCATTTATAGAATATCACACAATAATGGTCTGTGATGAATTATATAAAACGTACATCAAATTGTATTCAAGATGCAAAAATAGCCGGAATGGGCCTGTTAAGTCATTTTTTTATTGTTTCCTATGATTGTATCAGATTAGCTAAACTTTTTTTTTTTTCCCCCAACTTTCTTCGATAACGGCAACTGGGAGTAAAGTTCTCTTAAAAGTGTAAAAAATTAGAATATTCGAAAACAGGGTTTGAACTGTGAGCTTGTTGCTTTGAATTTATGTCATGATCGATATGGTGGCAGAATCCCCAGTGGAAGAATACACGGCAGCACCTTTATTCTGTTTGTTGTAGATAAGCAGGAGGTTTAGGCTAGGCCGTGAGATTTTAACGAGTGTTTTCCTTCAGAAATTTTTTCAGTTGTATCAGTGTGTTATTAGTGCACATTGCAATTTAAACTCACGTCATCACAACAATCATCAAGACACAAAATGTCTTGACCAATTTTAATTAAAAGTAATGAACATTGGGGTGTGAAGCAGAATGGGTTTGTTGGGCGCAAGGGATACAGCCAAGTGGTGAGACTTTTTAGAAGTAAAATTGCACAAAAACTCCGTGGGCACCTGAAGAAAAGTCTGAAATTTTCTCCTTAGCGTTCAATCTGTGTAGTTTGTAACACACTTTTTCAAACTTATCGAGTCTGCGACTAGTTTTTCTTAGAACTGGGCAGTCAGGTAAGCCAGAAGAAAGACTTAAACCGAAAAAAACAAATAATCTCGTGAAGCGCTGAAAGCTTTTATCTCACAAAGTAAACAGGGGTTTTTATCCAGCATTGCGCAAAAGGCTGGAATTTTTGAAAGGTGATTTTAACAAATTTTTTTGCAAGTTTTTGGTACCTCTTACAATTAAAACTTAAAAACAAATTTATTTTCAACTTGTTTGAGGGTCTTCAACTATCGACGAAATTTACCTTCTAAGAAATTTATCACTTCTCACAAGCCTTCATAATTGTACCTATCAAAACCTACCCTGCCAACAGTGTTTCATTTGGAAAATGTGGAATTCAAGAATTTGTCATCAATTTATATGTACGACATTTTCAAGAAACAGAATCCAAATTTCATATCGTCTTTCTCCTTTTGTGCATTTGCTAATAAGTTGAGTAATATTTTCCTACTTTTTTATGTTTCTTACTTCAGTATTAAAATTCATGAAGCAAGTAATTTTCAAGAAGTTAGCGCTGTAATGTCGGTAGAGAGGGAAATATCTATTGAAAACATTGCTTGGACAGATGATGGACAACTTTTGACTGCAGCTGGTGCCTCAGGCTCAGTGTATGTTTTCTTGTCAAGACTTCCTCAATTGGCTGGTGTCAGCTCTGAATTCATCGCTACTCTTTCCAGTCTAAAATCGATTTCTCTATATCTTTGCAAATATGAGAACATGAAGGTATAGTTAGTTTTCTAGCTGAAATCATTTTAGTGAAGTTTAGTTTAGGACTAAATTCATAAATAACTCATTAATTCCACAAAATCATCGAAGTCAAGTCTAATTGAAATGTAATTTCTCAAAAATCTCATTAAAATAATGACTGTAAAAATTGAAAAGTAAACAGTGAAAATTGAGGGAAAAATAAAAATTTTGCAATACAGTAAAATTTATAGTAATTATTAGACATGAAGCGTGTAATATCGATTAACAACAAAGTATAAGTAATACACAGAAAATTACTGTATATTTTATGGTTAAAAATAATTTTTTTTAACAATAATGATACCATGTATACATATGTTAATAAAATTACTACTCCTCTCACTTCGAAGAAAATAGACTTGCAATCCTCTAAAACTAACTATGAAAGTAAAACCAAATAAAATTACAAAATTAAAAAAAATTCTTGCACAACTGAATTTACAGCACTAGCGGTTATAATGACAGTTCTGGTATATCCATATACATTATACAACTACCGCTACATTCATTCATAATTCTTGTTTTCGTCCCGAATTGTCAGAGTGAACCTTACATGCTACTCTCAACATTACTATTGGTCTTTTTTTTTCCTTTCAGGTGAAAACTATCAAGAAAGCATCATTTAACATCGAAATCGAACCAAACTTCGTAACGTGTAGTAACTCACACATTGTTTTAGGCATGAATAATAGGTGTTGGATTTATGAAGTAGGTAAATTAAATGATTATGAAGAAAACATGAAGCCTGTCTTGAAAAGGCATAAAGAGTACCTAGGATCTATTCATAGTATTTCAGTAAGCAATCATTATATCTCTGTTCTGTTTGAGGGGAAACTTCATATTCATAAAGTGAGTATCTCGATATTCCTTACTTTGCATATGCAATTTGTTGTTCGCCTGTGATTGATGTATTCTTAGTACTGAGTCAAATATGCACTATTGATGACTGTCTATGAACAGACGGATTCTAATCAGGAAAAAGATAGAGTAATATATTTTTACATTTCAGAGTAATACATTTGTCATCGTTGAAGAATTATCCAAGATAATTTTTCTTTACTTTGATTATAATCCAATATTTGAATAACAATATATTATAAAGACTGTTACTTTCATATACATACTCAATTCGCCAAGTCAACAAACTCAGGAGCTTTGCAACTTTCAATTGCTATCAAAATCTATTGTTCTCAAGATCATCAGGCAAATGACTTCTTCGGATCTCCTCCTTAACTATCATCTACCAGACCTCCCACTCATAGGTGATGCTGGCAGTCGCGCACTCTGCAAGTGATCTTCGATTAAATCACAAAACAGTCAAACAGTGTGGTGGACCACATGGTCACGCTGCTCTCCCCCCCCCCCCCCC